TACATGCAGCCTTAGAATAAAGACCTGCATAAAGTGGTTTCCCTTTAGGGCCAGTGTTGCAAAGATATCCTGATTTACTAGTTTAACTTAATCTGTGTTTTCTGACTTGCATGCAGTCAGAAATGACTGCATTTCTCTCTGGTGTTGCTGAGAAACTTTTTCACAGAGGAGGCAAATTACTTTATAGTAAAGCAAGTTATCTATAGTAAAGACTCTTGTGTATGTGGCACTGGAAAAACGTTGAACAGGTTCTCACTCTTACGGTTTTGGACTAATCTTCCTTAGTAATTATAGGATTGTAAGTGTAAACAAGATGTTAATAATTTTCTTCTTTGTACAAATACAGAATAAATTAACTAGTTGTGCTTCCCTTCCCCTCCCGTCCACCTCCTTGGTGCTATTGTGGATTTTAGAAATCTGAAATCTTTACATATGATGGAAGAAGACATTACTGTTTTAAGGCAGCTGCTTAGCAACACTGCTTTGGCGTTTCGCAATCAGCCGGCTCTTCCCACACACTGCAGTGAAATGTACGTCATTTCATGGTGACTTGCATTCCAGCCTTTCTTTTGAGTTAGGCTTAGATCTCAAAGAAAATGAAATAATAAGAGTTGGAAAGAATAACAGGAACCTTTGGTGTCTTTTTTATAATAGAATGATTAATGCTTTAATATCTTTCTGCAATAACGACATCGCAGAAGTTCTGGCTAACAAAACTTGGGTGAAGCCCAAGAGCTAATTCAAACCACTTGGGGACCCCCTCTCCCTCCTGAAGATCCCCCTCAATTGGGTCCCAGCATTTGATGTATAGCTTTTGTATAAATGTGTGTATGGTCATATTCCCTCTAGCTCTGCCCATACTCTTTAAGAATTTCAAATAGCAGCAGAGGTTGCATTTGTTACGAGTGGGTGCTGAAGGAGATAAACAGTGAAAGTAGAATTGATCAAGCTATATGTGTGCATGAACAGAGATACAGGAACCAGAGGAAGTAAATACATGAATCTAATTTCAAGTTTGAGATTGAAGTCACTAAACCATTCTACTTACTGGCAACTACTGAACACTTTTGCTTTAATGCAGATAAAAAGCCTCTCATTCAATTTATGTCAGTGAAGCACAGATAAGGTGGTAAAAAGACCATAGTTTTTCATGTACTGTCATGGAGTTTAAGATAGAAATTAAAAAATATTTTTTCAGCAGGGCTAATACTGGTGCTTTTTTTTTTTTTTTAGTCATGTAACAGTAAAATGAAACAATCTTAGAAACATTTCCCATTCTCTACACTTCATTAGAAACATTTAAATACAAAGCTAAGATTTCAAAGTGATGTACTGGTCTGAATGGCTGATTGTTTATATAGTAATGTATTACTCAAAATAATTATTGAATAATAAACCTTTGTAAATTCTCTAAGGAATAAACAACATATACTTAAGTACAATCTTTTTTTTTTTTTCTTGTGGATTGACTCATACTGGGAGCAAACCAGTTTTTTAAGAGATTGGCATAGGATTTAGTCTTGTGACTCAAAGTTGGGGGCAGTCAGTGCTGTAAGTTCAGGCTTTTAACAGACAGTGTGAGGGAGGGGTATCTGACAGAATTAACTTGACCAGAAAATGGCAGATGTGCTGCTTTACTACAGTGTTCTGCATATAGATTCATAAAATAGTTTGGATTGGAAGGGACCCTCAGAGGGGGTCCCCCAGCAATGAGCAGGGACGTCTTCATCTAGATCAGGTTTCCCAGAACCACTCCCAGCCTGGCCTTGAATTGCTCCAGGAAACTTCTCAACATACTATTAGGAACAGACCAAGTTTGTCCAGCTTTTTCTGTTATGTACTTAAAGATGTAGTCATTATTGTGTTCTTAGACCTGCTACATAAAATTATTGGATTATGATTTTCACACGACAAGGATAGAAAATAGCATAAGAAAAATTGTGGCTCTTTTACAGGAAATGGTCTTTAAGGTTTCCTTTTAGTACTGTTGCCACTGCAGGTAGAACTAAAGTTGAATGAGCCTCTTCAAAGAATGAAAGCATGGGTTTCTGCAGTGTGGCAAATATAGTATGTAAATTCTGTGTGTGTGAGAAAGCAATTTAGTACAAAGCTTCATACCCAAATTGGTAGAAGTGATTTATCCAAGTAAGAAAGCCTTTCAAAAGAGATCAAAATAGTATTGCAGAGCCACATTAACTGGAATCTATTTCTTGTTAAAATTATGCTGTACTGAAAACCTTTTCCACTACTCTGTTGTTTGGTAAACTAAAATGGGATGATACCTGTAATTTGATGAATCACCAACTTTGGGAATTTGCATTAATTACTTTTGTTGTGACAATGATACTGCTGGAGAGGGGTCTCAAGAATACCAAGTACTTCTAAGTTGTTAGTCACTGAAACTTAATAATGATGGGGAAAACTAGTGATTGCAAAATAGGTATGTGACTTACCTTGTTTAAAATTGAACTTTGAAGCTTCTTTCAAATGAATGTAAAAGGCTGAAGGAACTAATAAAATAAGCTCTGGTTATATTCCTGTTGGAAAAAGCTGATTACTTTCTACCAATAGTTAAGTATGCTTGGGTTAGAAATAGTACTTAGAGTTCCTGAAGAAGTTGTTACACTGAGGTCACAGTTTGCTTCTTAAACTGTTTAGCCAAAAAAGGAGATAGTAAAGTTTTAGAGATGTGAGACTTCCTCCTTGATCTGTTTGTTCAATATCATTAAAACACACTGAATGATTAAATTAACCTCATATTAAGTAACATGGATGTTAATATTTGCTTTTTAGTTCTGTGAGTCTGAATCTAGTCCAAATATATATCTAGAAGACCGTAAAGTGCTTTCTGTTATGGTTGCCTTTACTAAATCTTCTTCTTTCCATGTGACATGTAATCTTCTGTTGTTATTTGGAAATCAGGCATTGCTTATCTTCAGTCATGTATTTCACAGTGCCAGGATGTTTAGATGTTGTTATAGCGGTGTTCTCTATCCCTTGCAAGGCTTTGTGAATGTTTTCTTAGCTTGTGTTACATTTGCTGTAGAAAGGCTGAGCAGCACCAGGGTGTTAATTAGGCTTTTTGCAATGTGTTAATTAAATTTTATAAATGCGTGTTGAGTAGATCCAGTGGAACCGGTTTTTGAAGTAAAACACAAACACTATGCACTCAGACTTCCTCCATAAACAATGATTGTGATTCATCTTGCAGTATTTCATGAACTGTATGTTTCTTTCCTGGTTAGTTGTCTGTTCAATGAACACAGGGGTTGGCTTACATACTCTCCATTTAATACATATAACAGGCGCTAAAGTACTATCAAAAATAGTTTTCTATTTTTGTTTCTTATCTGAGGATCCCTTTTAAGGTGATACTGAGATTCTCAAGTGGGAACAGTTTGTTAAACACAGGGGTGGAGTTGATAAAACCATACCAGAGGAGGCAGAAATGCATATTTTCATATTTGGCACCTGTGTTCTGTACTTGATGGCAATCTATAAATATTTGCATACTGCAAAAGTAAATGAGATATTGTGGTAGCTGTTGCTGTTTCTTGCTTTGACAGGAATGAGGTGACTCTCCACATCTTAAGTTGGGTCACAAACTGTATGTGCAAGCACAGAGCATTGCATGTGCTGCTTCTGCTGAAGCTGCCATTTTGTCATCTGAGGAGGAGTGTGTTCAGAACTTCTCTTTTTGTGTTTCTGCATGTTTGCACTTTACAGTACTAACTAGTAGTTGGGAAATAACACTTCCATTTGTCATTTGATTTTCAGTATCAGTGTTCCAACATTTTTTCATTGAAGATTCATATGGGTAGTAAGATTTTCCTTAGGACCTGTTTCATACAGAGCATCTACAGGAACTCTTGTGTGTCATACTTGGTTTTGTAAGATCTCAGAGGACCCCGTGTAAGATGGTCAGTGTTGTGACAAGTATTGTACAAATGGGAGTTGGGGCAGAGAAGGAGTATTCTGGATTTGAGGAAGATGGGTTTGTTACCTGTCTCCCACTGGAAGTGCTTATTTTCTCTACTGTAGAGCTGTGACACCGAGTAGCCTTGAGAGCTGTCCACTGCTGATGTTGGCCAGAAAAGGTCACCCAGACCATGAGGGAGAAGATCCTATTGATGCACCAGCCCCTGAGAGAAAGGGAGCTGAAGATCTGCATTTACAGTGTGATGTGTCTGGCCTGGTGGTCTATGAGCACTTCCTGTATTTCATTAAATGCTATATATGAATTTGATACTCTTAACAGGCAGTATAACAGCTGGATGAGCTCTCTTGCATAGTAATAGTATTGTTTTAAAGCATGTGCAGATGTGAGGGCTTATTACCCACAGGCACTGGTCTGTACAGCTGCTAATATCAGTTTTCTACTCATTCAGTTTGTAGTGCGATTTTTCTCCTTGCTTCCTCGCATGTTATCCACCTCAGCAAACTCTGGCTCCTTTGCACTCTGAGGGCCTATTGTGGTACTGATGGTCCTGGTTAAGCAAAGGTTAAATCTGTCCATCCTCTCTTCCCATACTCTCTGGGTTTACTCCTGTGCTGTGTCACATCCACAGAAATCTTTGAGCTGATCAGAAAAAATCACTCACTGCTGCTGAGGTGTTCATAACAAATCTGCAAGTTGTTGGGTGGACCGTGAACTTAACAGGAGATGGGTGCTTATTAGAGGTTTCACATTAAAATGCTGGCAAGCTGGAGCTGCTGCATTGCACCTGTTGTGTTGTTGGTGCTGCTGCTGTTGCAGCTGCCACCTCTATCCCTCAATGCAAAGTCTGCATCTCTTTAGGAGCTGAGGTTCTGGAGAATTTAACTGTGGGCTCTTCGGAACAGCAAATTGTCTTCCTGTTGTGTAACAGCTATCAATGTTGTTGTACCCATCAGGGCCTTGGAGTGTTACTGCTATACATTTAATAAATGATAAACCAAATATATATTAATAAATGATAAACCAGATATATGTTAAATCGTCTGTTAATCCAGATGATTTAAAGTTTCTGCTGCTTCCAGTGGCGGATTCAGGATTATCTGTTGGAATCACCTGTAATGTGTTGAACAAACCTTTACATTTACACTCTTAAGAAGAGGGTGTCTTATGCTAATGAGTGAGGGTTTCTTTAATGATGTTGTTCTCACTACATTGCTTAAAACAAAAAGCATTTCAGAAGCTTTTCATAGTTAAAAGTTAGCTGGTCTTTGTTTCTTATACTAGCCATAATATTTTTCACTGTTTTTAGCATTGCCTATGTTCCACAGGCAAGATTAAGTATATGAGCATAGAGAAGCTTGTAGCATGTTTTACAGATTTATTTTGAACCTGCTTGCGTCAAACTTGTCTATGCTAATGTTCCCACCTGGGAAAGCAATGCTAACAAATATTTAACTTTTTTAAAACACCTCTGAAATGTATCAGATCTCTTTTTGGTGACTGATATATGTAAGCACCACACTCCCTGCCCAGCATGCTAGCAGTCTGAATAGAACAAGAAACAAACCAGAAGCTACAGGAAAGAGAGAACAAACATGGCTATTTTTAGACAAGAATCAAGAGGTGGGTTTGGTATATTTTTTAGGATTAAGTTTGTGGCTGCTTTTTGTTGTGCAGGTTTTGTTTCTTTTACAGGTATGTAGTTTTGACCTGAGATGTGACTTCGTTTAGAATCAGTTCAGTGTGCTCAGAGCCGTGAGATGTCCAGACAAAAAGAAGTTTCATCTAGTCCTTCATTTGAGGAAAATGTAACAGAAAAGGAACAGAGTACAGGTGTACAGCAGATCTTATGCTGAATGTCAGCTAGGAACATCAGGCCCTTCGCACAAAACTGGCATGTGTAAGCAGGATGTTGGCTGCAATATGTGAAAAGTCTGGTTAGTGCAAATCAGCCTTTAGCTGGAGTAATGGGTCTAGTTCTTGGTACTGCAGGGCAAAAAGGCTGAGAGGGTCCAGGAATTCCAACAGGGAGTGATAAGAATGATCAGACTCCTAGAAAACATGCAGGAAAGGGCTGGGTAAGTGGATCTTGTTTCTTCTAGAAGAGATGACTGATGGGACACATGGTAAGTTTTCAAAGAAGTTAGAAGTTGCTACATAGAGGAGAGCAAGAAACTTATATTTCCATTGTGAGTGGGACAGAGAGTACTGAGTTGAAATTGTGACAGAGTATATCTAGATCAGTTATTAAGAAGAGTATTCCTTAATAAGTGTAAGTTAAGTAACTGTAGTCAAGCAGTGGAATAGATTGCTAAGGGTGGTTGTGGAGTCTCCAGCATTAACAATCAATTGAAAAAGAATAGTTTGTAGAAGTAGTGACACATTGATTCAGCCTTGGAAGAAGAAAGGATTGGTGACTTCTCAAGGGTCTCTCTTGATCTTTTTTTCTAGTTAAAGTAATGCAGAGATATGCTGGAAAAATAGCAAGATTTTACAGTATGCCTCTGCAAAAATGTACTATTTTACATCCATTTATAGAATCATAGAATAGTTAGGGTTGGAAAGGGTCTTAAGATCATCTAGTTCCAGCTCCCCTGCCATTTGCAGGGACACCCACTAAGCTATGTCACCCAAGGCTCTGTCCAACCTGGCCTTTTCTTTCACGTTTGAAATAGTTTGATAGTTTAAGTCATGTAAAATGTATTCTAAGTTGAACTGTTGAACTGTGCAATATCCCTGATTTTTTTTCTAACCACTTTATTAGAAAGATGGTATGTATAAAAAGAAACTTGTATATATATATATATATATATATATATAAAACCTGCGTTCAGGCAACTATGAGTTTTGTAATTTCTTCAATAGTTCAAAAGCATCTTTGATGTTTTTATATCTTAAGCTGAAACAGTATCGCTTTGGTGGCAGCCCAGACCATCATATGTGAGTTGTAAGTTTATAAATATGAAAATAATTTGAGATTTCAAAAAAGCGCTACGTTTATTTTAAGTGGCAAAGTTATTACACTCCAAATCTATCATTGGCTGGAAAAGCTAACAAAGGCTGAAAAACGCATTTCTAATCAAAACCTTATCCATCTGGTATTGTTTATGTCTTTCAACTGTATTGTACTGGTCATCACTTAGTCCACATGATCTACATATGATTATTCATGGGGTTTTGTTTGTCTTGATTTATAGATGACTTTGATGAGCTTGTGGTGACTAACAATGATGTTGTGCTTAAAAATATCGCTGAAGATTTGCGGAATTGTTTACCCATGGAGGCAATGTTTAATTCGGAACATCAAGCTGTACAGAAAGTAAGCTAATTGTTACAGTCTGTTTTCGCTGAACCGCATCATTTATTTGGGGACTGATGCTGATTTCAGTTTTTGTAGTAGTTCATAATAGAGAATAAGCACTGGATTGAGGTATAGGAAATCTCGGTTTGATTCTCAGGTCTGTTGCTGCATGATGTGTGTGACACCAAGAAATGTGCTTCATAGTTCATAATACTTTGTTTGTAAGTTATTTGCCATAGCTTTCATTCTATGTGGTATGGCACCTGTCACAGTGATTCTTTAATGTTAACTCCATAAGAGACTCTTAACAGCCCCCTTAAAGAAAACAGAAATACAGGGCCAGTGTTTCACTGTTGCCATAATGTGGGCAGTGCAGAAATGATTTCCAGCTCTTTTCAGATTCTGATGGCTCAGAAAGAGGTAGGCTGTGAGTCCTGTGGGAGGGGAGAGCACCTTTTCTACTTGAGCTGTCAATAGATGTGGAAAATTAACTCATTTTGCAGAAAAGTGACGTGTGGCTCTTAAATGGGAAAAGTGAATTGGCCACATGCAGCAAGCCTGGGAGAGAGAGGAAAGAGGAGTAGGAGGATGAAGATTATACCCCTTGAAATGATGAGAAGCAAGCATCCCAACTGGTCTGCTTTTAATTGAAAATGACACCCATTTTAATCAGGAGTGTTTCTAGTTTGGGGCATAAAGCATGAAGATGAAAATATTCAGACAGTTGAAGTTGAGAAGTAATAATGCCCTTTCTCCTAAATTTAAGTTACATTCTCCTCATCAAAGTGGAAGGGAAAAAGCTTCCTTTAAGCTGTACCACCTCTATAGCCAAGCAAGCAGTAAGGAGACCAAATTCACAACGGGTCTCCTACTTGGTTGTCGAAGTAAGCTTGCTTTCTTTTATCAAATTCCACTTAATGGTTATTTCAGTGGAATTTGATGATCCAGTTTACATGCAGGATTTTTATTTTGATATGTAACTTTTGAGTAGGGAAAAGCTTGTATATCATGGATTTTGGGGAAAGATAGGGTGGTGGGACAATTAATTGTGTAACAGTGTAAATGAAATTGAGATACTTGGTTATGCCTTTCTTAGGTTTTGTTCCTCTTCTCAGATACACCAGCATCCACTGCCCATGATTCATGTTGATGCATTCCTTTATGATGATGATTTTGTTGATTCATTGTGTGAGGAGGGGAAAATGAGTAGGAGCTACTGCACAGAGTGTGGCTCATACAAGACTGCATCTTTGGGTAAGTGCTCTTTTGGGAACATGAGAAACAAATTCAGTTTGACTAAACTGGTTTGTGCAGTGACTCAACTAGACAACACAGTGTCCAGCTGATGGAGTACTTTGTCCAGACTGGTGCAGTACACAGGCCAGAATTACTTCCCATAACCAATGGAAAGAGACTCCTATAAACGTAAGTGGAATTAATTTGCAGTGTATGAGTGACACTAGTTGCCCACAAAAACTGGGCAGGTAAGAGACAGAGCTATGTACCACTGAAAAGGAAGACGCAAGAGGAAGACAATACTGTAGGAGTCCATGCAGTAGCCTCAGACTTCTCTTGCACCCTGAAAAGCAGTATAAATCACCATCTGTCTTAAAGCTTGTGTGTGCTGTTGCTAGTATAGCACAGCACTGGAGGCATGGTTGATATGGAAAACATTCCATTCCTTAAAATCTTGGAGTTGGAATTCAATGTATTGTCTGCCCATAAAAAGGTTTGTGTGAATTGTGTTGAGCTTTAGGTACCATGTTTCCTTTTTCATTTAAACAACCCCAAGTTGTTTTCTTATTCTTTAATATATGTCACTGTGCAGAAAAAGGTAATTCAGTTTCATGAAGGATTTCAGAATTCTCTGTGTAAGGGAAGGAATCCCTAGACTCAGGACAGACTATGTGGCAGGCTGCCTCTGATCTGCAATCTCTAGATATCTGGGGTAGCCAGCACTAGTTCAGACAGGAAACCATACAGGTTTTCAGTGATGATAACTCCTCAGATTAGTATTTCATTGGTTAATAACACAGTAGTTAGTACTGCCCACCCAACACCTTTGTTCTGTTCTTATTTCCCAGAGTTTATTTCGCATTCCTTTTCCCTCATGGAACTGAAGTTTCTTTATCAACATGTACTGCCTGACCTGACAGGAAAGGTAGTGGTTGACGTTGGCTCCAGACTTGGTGCAGTGCTATTTGCGGTAACTTCCAGCACAGGAATTCATATTTTACTACTGTGACAAAAATTTTCCCTCTTCTCTGACTGCCTGCTCTTCTTTCTCCATCTTGGATGGGTCATTCTGAGAGGCACCTCTGATTTGACTCTCTGAACAGTATAAGGTGCTGTTTACTAGTGATTTCAGTTCTGTTCCTCACAAGAGGGAATATAAATGATCTTGCTTATTGAGAGAAAAAATCTGTTGTCCAACAGAGTAGCATATTGCTGTCACACATGCTGCTCATTTGCTAGTTCCTGCTCTCTCTCTTCTTCATAAGTAAGTTTGTCCTCTATGTCTTGACCATGTCTATATATAGATTAGTTATGTTAAATTCTTTTATGAAGCTGACAAACTGTTAAATTATACAAAGGAAGACTTTGATATGAATTTGTCTCTGAAAACATATTGTCCTGCTCTGCATTTTAAAATGCACATAAAATACTTCATCGAGAAACTTGAGTACAATTTTGATTGCTTTTGGCATGGCTGGTGCAACATATGGCCAAAAGCGATGCAAAACACACATTACAACCTTCTTACAAAAGCCAATGGCTGTTTAGGGCCCAATCTTGGAAACACTCGAGCATGTAATTTTACTCGTCTGAATAATGTCATTTCGGACTACTCAGATGAGGAAAGTTACTCCCATTTGTAAGTATTTGCAGCATTGGATCCTTAAATGGTAACACTTTTGCTAGCCTGAATTTGTTTTGAGTACTTAAACACTTGCATGGTTATAGCAGAAGATAGTCTTAACTAAAACAGGGGAAATGTTTTTAAAAAGAAGAGTTCTCCTGTTTAATCTTGGTTTTGCCTTGCATTGGAGGAGGCCTGACTTCACCTTCACAGGTTGATTTTCTGCTCTCTGAGTTGAATCGTTTCAGAAAACAATTAGTTTGTAGTACATAGATAGCTCAGGTATTCTGTGTCTTTAGAATAATTTATTTGCCTTTACCATTGTTGGCAACATGTAATTGTGGTGTTCAGTGGAGACAATGGCACTTAGAGCAGTGTCTTCATTAGGGCCCTGTAGGCTCAAGTATTTGTACTTTTTCCTGACATCTCCAATAACTTTCTGAAAATCTCAGTCTGAAACTGAACCATTATTTTGGTCTTATTATTAAAGGAATTAAAGGATCATTTACCTTTTTTCATATGTAAGCACCTGGAAATGGCCATAATACTATATTATAGGTGCTGACAAAGACTTTGTACCAAAATACCCCCTTATATTACTGGTACCTTTTCCTCCTCCATTTTCACTCACTTTGACTTTATAAGTCTTCTCTTATTTTTTTTCCTTTTCCTCTTGTTGTTTTCTTCTTCCATTCTCCCAAGAAATAAAACTGTGCAGTCTTTTTGCTTTACACTATTTTTGTAACTTGTTTTTTACTGCTTTTTTCCTTCTTAGACCATTTTCCATCTGTTTTGCAATTGAAGTGAAGCTCAAGCTTTCCTTTTTATTATTTTGACATGTCATTTTGGATTTCCTATTAAAATTCGTGAGACGTAAGTGGGAATTGCCACATCAGGGGCTTAGCTCTAAAAAACATGTCACATCCACTGAATGACATTTCTCAACTTACTGTTTTAAAATGCTTTCTTAATCTTAACCTCTGTTCTATTTTTTCCACTTTAATTGATTTTTTTAAAACTTGTTTTAAAGGCATCACAGTTACTAAATTTCCTTTTCCTAATGTAGGGTTATCTTTATAGCTCAGCATCCCAACTCTATGGAGTAGAAATGAATGCAGACTTTTGTCAGTTGCAAGAAATGATGATTACAAAATACCAGTTCATTGACAGAATTAAGGTAACTCAATACATGGTTTAGTGTATGTTTTTTTAACCACTGTGTACTAGGTATCCTGTTTATGTGAGTGGCTGGTAAATCAGCCTGCTGAGAAAAAGTTTCTGCTTTTGCTTGTTTTGGTCCTAAATAAAAGCTTTGTATTAGGGGGAAAAAACCAAAATCTCATAGCAGAGAGGAAGGAGGAGATTATCAAAATAAGATAATGTGTGTTGAATTGCTTAGCCTTGTCACTGAATGGATTTACCTACTGGCTTACACAAACCAGACACATCTCAGCTGTTTCTCCCAGTGAAATCAGTCACATTGCCACTAACTTCTGTGAAACTGAGTGTATAAAAAGTTTGTCATGAATAACAAAACTAAATGTCTGTGTTCCATTAACATTAGCAGAAAGATATTTGTAGAATTTGCAAATTTGTGTCTAAGGACACCTAAAGGACTTTACAGCTATTGGCATTTCCTGTGTTGTCATGTCAGTGCGTATGTACCTTTCACAAACAAAATGGATTTCAAACAATGTGTTGTCATTATGGGAACCGTTTCCCTAGTCCCCTTATGGAATTACTACTATTTTAATAAGAATTTTTTTTTTCCTTTCTTGGGAATAACCAGTTATTTTGTTGCCAGTAAAAGTTGGAAAGTTGAATGTACTGGGTAGAGTACTGGCTTTAATCCTGTGTTATGTGCATGTGTTCTTGAATGGAGTCACAAACTGCTGGCTGTAGTAATTTCTTGGGAACTAAAGTAACCCATTTTAAACTGGATAGAAATAAGAAACATGACATATTTGACACAGTGTAAGCAATATCATTGGGTTGCCTGATTCAATCCCTGTTGCTGTCAGTTTATCCATAATCTTTGGGTCTTACATGTTTTGTGTTCGTAACAACTTATTGTGACAGGACTGAAAGTGCAGTTTGGAACTCTGTGAAATTAATTCAGTGGAGCTGGAGATCTGTATGTATGCTTTTCAGCCTTGTATATTCTTTATTATGAGCCTTTTTGTTTTTCCTTCACACCTTGTAATTCTGCTGAAGTATTCACTTCAGAGCATAAAGATTAGAAGATAATAAGTTTTCAAAGCAGTGCCTGAGGACTTAGCTATTTGAGTCTCATTAGATGCTAATTTAGTCATGTGACTCCTGTTATCACACTGCTTTGAACATTTCAGTCTTAGGTTTTATTTCACTCCAAATAATCCTCTCCAGGATTCTGGACTTGAAACAGTCAGAATCCAGTAATTGCTATTATTGAAACATAGAATCATAGAATCATAGAATCATAGAATAGTTAGGGTTGGAAAGGACCTTAAGATCATCTAGTTCCACCGCCCCTGCCGTGGGCAGGGACACCTTACGCTAAATCATATCACCCAAGGCCTCGTCCAACCTGGTCTTGGACACTGCCAGGGATGGAGCATTCACGACCTCCCTGGGCAACCCGTTCCAGTGCCTCACCACCCTAACAGGAAAGAATTCCCTTCTTATATCCAATCTAAACTTCCCCTGTTTATGTTTTAACCCGTTACCCTTTGTCCTATCACTACAGTCTCTAATGAAGAGTCCCATGGTCAGAATCCAGTAGTTGCTGATAATAACTTATGACACAAATTTGAAAAAACTTTTAAGAGACCCTTCTTAAATAACAATCGTTTTTTCAAGATATTCTGAATTTTTTTAGTATGTTCCCAAAGGACAGCAGGGTGGATTGATATCTTTACTGGCTAAATCTCCGATTTAACCCTATGTTCCTTTGGTCAACATTTGGTTTGTTAAAGTACATAGAAAGTTGCTCAGCATCTTTTGCCATTTGAACAAACAGATGCTGGGAGGAAAGTAAACAGTTCAGCAGATCTTAGGAAACTTGAGACTTCAATTCAGAAATTGCCTGTAATCATTAAAGGCTTGGTGCAACAGAGCAGTTTTAAAATCAGTTGCTGCCTCCTCTGTTGGGCCAGCACACAGCCAAGCAGGTCAGGGAACTGGTCCAACTGAAAAAGAACCCAGCAAAAAAGTGCTGTTCTGGTTGGAGCAATACCTGGGTCAAGCTTGTGGTGCAGCCACACATGCTTATGTGGTTTCACATTCCCTAACAGGGATGAGGATGTGTTTTGGGAGAATGGGGTACTTAGGTCACTACAGTCAGCATGGCCACTTACTGTGTACATATGGACTAATTTTAAGGTTCAAGGTTTATTCAAGTCAAGGAGACATCAGCACAAGTCCAGACTTTCCCAGTAGTTTAAGCATCTTTCTGAATTGAGGCTTAAAATACCAAGTGTGCCATTAGTAGGGCATTGAGAAAATTTAGTGCTAATTGTGATTTCTTGTACTGCAAGAAGTCCACTGACTGAACAGTCCACCAGTCACTTGTGTTTGGATTAAAGGACTGCTGTTTTGTGGGATTTTTGTACAGAAATTATGTGATTTTGTTATTTTTGCCCCTTGAAAATAAGAGAGTGAAATGAAATGTCTCCTTAGCCTCAGAATAGTGATCCACATCCCACTTACAGTCAAGGTAAAATCTAGGTTCTGGTACGTGAGTTCTAGCAGATGTAGCAGAGGCATTTTTTGCCTCTAGCTGTCTGTCCTGCCCCACTGCAGGAGGCTGTTGCCTATATAATAGAGCAGCAGTCAAGCCTGTATCCAGATCTTTATCACCCCAGTTTATGGTCTTTCATTTTAATCAACAGTTAGCAGGGGCTTTATGCAGAGGTCTTGAGTTTACACCCAGGACCTGCTGTATTTGGTAGTGGCCTAAGTGGTGTGTCTTCTTTCTCTGAAAGGCCTGAATGCTTAAACTTTTTAATCAGCTTCTGTACTGCTACATTTTACAGTGCACTGTTTGAAGATAAATTGTTGCCAATCTTAATTGTCCTAGAAAACTCTAACTTCATGAACTAGTGGCTTAATAGTTTAGGTGTCCACACACTAGAGGTGAAAGAAATTTGACCAGTCATTCAGACAACTAAACTGTCCCTATTTCTCAGTGAGCCAGAACCTGCCAGTTCTGGGTAAGGTATGAGACCACAGTTGCTTCCTTTCCACTTACTACAGGCAGTGGTGAACAACTTGGCATGGTAATGTGTTTAAGGAGGTAAAGGTGTTTGTTTTACTGATTTGGAGTACTTGCAGAGAACCCATGGAATACATCTCTCAAAGATGAAATGCTGCAATGTCCAATATTTTATGAATGATAAGAGTTTGGTTTCTGTTATTACTGACATTGAAATATTTGGCTGTAATTGCAATTGCTATAATGCATTCTGGTAGCATAGACTAGAGTCATAAACTGTGACAACTCATTATCTTTTCTGCATTTGGACCCTTACAAGTTGCAGGGGTCAATCAGAACAGCATGCTTTTGCATGTTTATTAAGAGGAGGAATACATAATTTACCCTCCCAACAAGTACTGATGTATTGTTTTCAACAGATAATTGTTTTTAACGTTTTGTACTAACATTCACCTTTTCTGTCAAAATTAAGAATTCCTTTTTACATCTGTCCAATATTGGAAGGATTTGACAAAATGTGAAATGTTGAATACATCGGGTTAGTATGTTCCCAGCCCAACCTAGTAGTAGGTCACACAGGAAAGAAAAAAAGTTGTTCAGATTTTCTGGGTTTTTTCAACATACAGGGATGAAAAAAAAAAAACCTGTGGAAAGCAAGTAATGTTCAGATAGGCTTTCTCTCTGTTATCCCTTCAAAAGATGTTCCAGTTGATGTTTCTTCTCAGATTTGGGATGTGATATATTTCTTCACGTTTAAGAGGAAATCAAACACATCTTGTCAGAGTGCTAATGAGCATCCATATTCTCCTGTGACTGTAATCTCACCTGTTTGAAAATGACATGATGTGCTAATATCCTTTTTGGTAGGTGAAGGTAGATGAAATCAAACCAGCTGCTATGCTGACTGGAGGGACAGTTGTTTAGTAAAGTAAAGCACTTGCTGTCCTCCAGTTCCACCAAGCATCCTGCCTTTCCAGCATTCCCAGTCCCAATACATGTTGTGAAAATTCAGCTGTCAAACCTAGTGTCTTTTCTAGCTGTAATCCTTTAGTAACCCACTGAGCCTGTGAGACATCTTTTATTATCCTCAAAAAAGCTTTATCTGGTTTAGCTTCTTTCCTGAAATTAATGAGCATTTGTGATAAAATACAGATAAGTGAAATGTAACAGCCATCACATACACAATCTCCTCCTTTATCGCACACAGTGTTCTAGACCAAAAGTCAGATGTTTATTTCACTTAATGTAATAAATCCCTTATTTTAATTAGAGGAGATAAAACTGATTTTTGTTCTTTTTTTTTAATTTCTTAAAGCTTCTTCTTTTGATCTACTGTGAAGCCAGTGAAATACCTGTTTTGTGGCTGGTTCAAAATGGTGGTAGCAGGTGCTGTATCAGGTTGACAGGCTTCATGGCTACTTGAAGGCAGTATTTGTCTCTTAATTTATGCCTTGTGAAATTTTTTTCCTTCAGGTGGTTCACGCAGACATCTGTACTCAGGCTTCGCTTCTTCAGAAGGCTGATGTTGTTGTAATGAATAATGTCTTTGAATATTTTCTTGACAGAGAGGAACAGGCTAGGTAAGCTATGTGTCTGAACAAGTTATCTATTTGTTTGGCATTGTCTCTGTAACCTTGTGAGCTATGGAAAACCTTAAGGTTGTGCTTTTTGAAGTCATATAAATTACATAAATTAAACTGCCTACACTTGTTACACTTAACTGCTAAAGTGTTATGGCAGTTATTTGTTGTTAAACCCACTAAACACTGCTGCTTTGTTTACCCAAACCTTGCCCTGAATCCTTGCACTCATCTGTTTAAATAGTATCTGCTGTTAAAGGACCTGAAATTACTATATTGGCATAAGCTTAATCTTCAGAAAGAATACAGGCCACTGACTTGTGAATGTCACAGCTTTAATATAGATGCACTGCAAAACATGGCTATTAATCCTATTTTCTAATATATATTCATAAGGATGCAGTAGCAAACAAACGTATGGCTAAGATTCTTCTCTTTCAGATACAAGATACAGATGAGCTTTTGCTAATCCAACATATCCGTTTATGCCATAAATAACTTTATCATCCAAAGTTGCTTTGCCTTTATAATGGACAGTCAAAATGAAAGTGTGTCTTCACCATCCCAGCCAACAGTCTGACATTTGCTAACAGTTTCAGCTAAGACTGGTCTTACTATTGCCCATGATACCAGGCAGTAATGTCAGCTAGTGAGGTACAGAGTGGATGGGTGAAGAGTAGTGGGTGTTTCAAATTGCCAGGAGATTTGTTACTGAGCACATGTCTGAGAATTCATTTCATTCTTCAAGAACTCAGGGACAGTGGTTTAATGTTGCATTAATACCATGAAGAAAAATGACATTTGAAGAATACTGGAAATATAATTCTTTTTAGTCTGAGTTGCCATGCTGTGAAAAATTACCTGACTTGCAAAATCAGGAGAAAAGGAATGCTGGAGGCAATATTTAAATACTTTGATTGCTAATGTCTCAAGAGAAGCATTTTGTCACGACTACAAAGTGTGTATGTAAAGAGCAGGTTGTTATTAAGCTTAATCATAGAATCACAGAATGATTTGGGTTGGAAAGGAACTTAAGATCATCTGGTTCCAACAGACGCCGCACACTAGACCATGTAGCTGAAGGCTCATTCCAACCTGGCCTTGAACACTGACCAGAGATGGAGCATTTACCCCTTCTCTGGGCAACCCATTCCAGTGCCTAAGAACTTCTTCCTTACATCTAACCCGAACTTCCTTTGTTTTAGTTTGAACCCATTACTGCTTGTCCCATCACTACAGTCCCTGATGAAGAGTCCCTCTCCAGCATGTGCGTAGGCCCTCTTCAGATATTGGAAGGCTGCTATGTGTTTAATAAAACAGTGTGCTCAAAGACTGGATTTTCTTCAAAAGTTTAAAGGGACGAAATGTCAATGTTTAATCCTAGTCCAAAGTGAAGGTGTTGACAGTACAAAATGACATGCATGTATGTTAAAAAAAGTTAAAAAGTTAAAAATCTTAACACTGTAAGACCATTTATTCCCTCTGTTTTAAATAAGAAGCTTGATTTTGTTCATACAAGATATTTGCTTAATGTTAATAGTAACTTATAAGCATGTATAGCAAGTCTTTAAGTTTAGCCTTATCTCTGCCCAGTAAACTGTAGAAGTCTTAGATTTGGTTTATGATCAAATGTGGTTTGTTCCCTAAAAATTAGTGACCTGCTTTTTTGTTTCAGAGCTTGGGAATTTGTTGCTTGTAATATAAGGAAAAGAGGGTCCTTATTAGTGACAGTTCCAAGCCTTACAGAATCACTTTCAAAGGTCCAGGTAAGTTCCCTCAGCTGCTTTTAGCCAAGACATTTTGGCACTTTCGATGAAAGTGGCAGTCTGGTAGTTGAGGTCAGCTGCTTGCCAGTATTGATGTGAGGGAAGGATATGTAATTTTGTGTGTAGATTAAAAGATGTAGGACTCTGAATTTTAATTCTGGGTTGACCGTGAACGCATCTGCCTGTACTTTGATTTTACCCACCTGTAAAATAGAAATCCCAGCCTGTATCAGCAGGCTGTGTGAACCATTATAGTATTACATGTATTATTAACAATACCTTAGCTGTGAAGTTAAACAAAAAACAAACAACAAAACAAAAACCAACACAAACCATTAATAACGCCAGATTAGGGTGTAATTTTTGTGATAATCATATCCACTTACATCAGACTCCTTCCAGCTATAGGGGTAGAACTTCAGAAGTACATATGTATTTATAGACTTCTGGAGGCAAAGCCTTGAAATGTTTTCTCAATTTAGCTCTATGTTTGCACATTGCCTTGAAACATGACAAACTATTTAGTTAAGCCAGTGGAAGAAAGGGACGTATTAAAGAGGGACCATGCCTGAGGATACTGTGTCTTCTGGAGCATAGAAAATGACTCATAGTGTGAGCTGTTAGAAGTACAGATCAGGGAGAGATGTGGTCTCCCAAGTAGTCAAGTGGTTACCGTCAGGCATCTTGGACCAGTGACTTAGCTTTAAATTGCCTGTTGGAAACAAACATGATGACGGTGCAACTTCCAAAGATGTTGAACACCCTATGCTACTATTGCTGTTCCCCGAGCACTAACCACTTTTGAGGGACCAACCTCTGCTCTGTTACCTCTGCTACTTATGCCATAGGTCACTGCTAGATTACAGTTGTTACGTGTATGATGCCTAGCCAATTGTGTGGGCTGGCTTTAGCTCAGAAACAAAACAGTGATCATACATGACAAGGTTATTTATGAAGTAGCTTGCTCACCACAGTAGTCTGCTTTAGAGAAATCAAATCACTTGTTGCCTGTATGTTGATGGGTGAAATAGATCCTGAGGCCCAGAAGCAGCAATGGTGTCACTTGACCTTTCCTTGGAGCAAGCAGTAGAAACACAGCAGCTGAGAAGCCCTTTGTAGCCTTAATACAATACTTCCTGTGTGTAAACCAAGAAATACCTGTAATTCTTCTATGGTACAGTTAGTGGCTCCCTCAATACTTCTTTCAGAATGCAAATAGAGAAGCATGCTAGTAAAATACCTAGGTTATTCACTGAAATAATTTTTAAAAGGTATCCTTCATAGAATCATAAAATTATAAAATGGTTTGGATTGGAAGGGACCTTAAAGATCATCTTGTTCCAACCCCCGGTCATGGGCAAGGACACCTTCCACTAGATCAAGTTGCTTCAAGCCCCATTCAACCTGTCCTTGAACATTTCCAGGGATGGGGCAGCCACAACTTTTCTGAGCAACCTGTCCCAGTGTCTCATCACCCTTGCTTGTGTCCAGTCTAAATCTACCCTCTTTCAGTTTATAATCACTGCCTTTTGTCCTGTCACTACAGGCCCTGGTAAAAAGTCCCTCAATCTTCCTTGAAAGGCTGCAGTAAGGTCCCCTGGAGCCGCCTTTTCTCATGGCTGAATGAGCCCAGCTCTCTCAGCCTGTCCTCACAGGAGAGGTGCTCCAGCCCTCTGACCATTTTTGTGGCCCTTCTCTGGACCCGCTGTACGTGTCCATGTCTTTCTTGTTCTGGGCTCCCTGGAGCTGGACGCAGTACTCCGGGTGGGGTCTCATGAGACCAGAGTAGAGGGGTAAAATCACCTCACTTGGCATGCTGGCCACACTTCTTATGCAGCCTATGATGCAGTTGGCTTTCTGGGCTGCATACATTGTGGGCTTATATCCAATTTTTCATTGACCAGGATCCTCAAGTCTTTCTCTGCAATGCTGTTCTCGATACATTTATCCTCCAGTCTGTATTGACCATCAGGTCCCAGCTGCAGGACCCAGCTGCAGGACCTTGCACTTGGCCTTCAACTTCATGATGTTTGCATGGGCTCACTCCTCAAGTTTCTCAAGGTCTCTCTGGATGGATTCCCTCCAGCAAATCCACTTAATCGCTTGGCTTGGTGTCATATACAAACTTGCTGAGGGTGTATTTATTCCCATGTCATTCATGAAAATATTAAATAGTATTGGTCCGTGTACAGGCCCTTGAGGGACAGCACTTGTTACTGGTTTCCACTTGGGCACTGAGCCATTCACCACATCTCTTTACATCTAATCTTTATTCTCTTTATTATCTTTGGATCTTTCTTTATTCTCTCCCATTTAGGTTAAATGACATTTCCAGAAATTAATTTATCATTGCTGCATAACTTGGAATGACTAATCTTTCTTATTATGTCTTGCATTTTTAAAGCTGTGCTGACCTTTAAACTCCTGCTATGTTTCTCAACATTGTGTTAAGAATCTGTTTTCATTGTTTCAGACAGATATACAGCTTGGCCAATGGGTCGAAGAGATGCAGCTGAACTATGATGTGTATGTGGAAAAAGATGTTGACAGAGAAGCACTTGAACAAATACATTTATACAAGATTCTCTAGTAGCTGGAAGAATTTACTAGTATCCTTGTAATATCATATATTTTGGGTCTAAAATGAATTTGGATTGTCTTGTGTGAATAGATCAGGTCAGAATTCTTATTGTGATAAATTTGGGTCATATCTGTGGTTTGTAATGAAAGAGTCTTTTGAAACAGGTTTTTTTTTATGGAGGCATTCTGTATCAATGGTGTATATTAATTTTTAACTAGGAGATATCTTTATGGTTTAATTTTTGCAGAAATTTTGGAGAGAGTGGGTACGTACGGATGCTAAAAGAAGTTTTATTCACTGCTAATGTTTGCTAAATGTGTCAAACAAGAATAGCAAATAATAATATGAATGTTAAGAATGCATTTAGCATGTTACTCGAAAGCTGCAGTATGTTAGAGTTTGCTGTTTTGTTTTGATACAGACCATTTATTATCAGTAATAATATTTATTATTAACTGTATTATCTTTAATGTTCCTTCTGTAGAATTTGTGGATTTCTTTCCAGGGTCTGTTTGATAATCAGAGCATCCACTGGCATCAGTTATGAGAAGCAAGTCCTTCCATTTAGTTAGTTATCCTTAAGGTGGGTATTAACATAAAAAAGCAAAAGACATTGAGGAGCCATTGAGAATTAATACAGTGAGTCTGGGACAACAGAACTCTGTTCCACTTCCTGCACTTCTGCTGGGGATGGTAGGAAGTGTAATAAGGGGTTAAGAAGCTGAAAATTCTGAACAGGTGTCACAGCTTAGCGGAGGCTTGGTGGTGGCGTAAAACGTTGGAAATTCGTAACAGAGCCTCCTCGGAGAGGAAAGATCCACATACGCCCACCACATTTACATTTAGATTGTACGTTCTAAGGATGTGAAGCTTTTAGTCAGCTGAAGAATGTTTCAGTTTTTAGCAAACATTAACAGTCTGAGTGCAAAAATATGAACTTCAGGAGTTTGGACAAAGTGTGCTGGGAATTTGGAAGCACTGTTAAAAGTTTGCTACACAACTTAGGTCTAGTGCAAACAGGAAAACTTTAAATGGGTTTCAAGTCTTCAAATGATTTACAGGTCAGTGAACTTAATATACACTGTAAGCAAAAAGGAACAGTGGCCATTAGGCACTCACAAACATAGTAAGTAAATGGTACTGTAGAAGGGATAGTGAATTTTAACAAGTCTTATTTTCATGTTCTGTTTGAAGTGGAAGATGTTTTTACCTTGAGTGATACTGAACCACTATGTTGAACCTTGCATTTAAAAATTAACAAAGATGGAAAGCTTTTTCTTAAAAATGTTTATTTTCTTAAAGAACAGTAACTGAACTGTTGATTGCTTCACTGTCCATGAGACAAATGCCCTAGAAAAGGAACCTAGGAGAGGCTAGGCGTGGTGTGGAGGTAACGCAAGGCTAATAGATCTAACAAGGAGAGAATAAAAAATGAGAAAATAAATACATGTGCAATTCAGAATGAGGAAATGAGCACTATAGTAATCAGTACAGTGGAAGCTGTGACTGAATTTGGGGTGTATAAATAGGCTGCTATAAAAGGAAAACTGACTGGGTCTTAAAAAGCTACTTCATAACCCTACTATCATGTGAAAGAAAGCACTGTGTCAGAATGTTGCTTACTTCTTCCAGAGGTCCTGCAGGATCTCCTGAATCAATTGTCATGACTTTTGGCTCATGGGTATACTGTGCCCTGCACCTTGTTTTGGTAATATGGGAACTATAGCAGTTGTTTGCAGTTCATTGCAGTTGTTTCCCCTCTTCATGCTGAGTCTTCAAATACTTTTTCTGGGTGTTGATCTCGGATAAAAAAAAATTCAATAGACTGGAGCAGATCACCCGCATATTTAATGACATCTGTATCCTCTGACTCTGGAAATAGCATGCACACGTCTGGAGCTCATATGCAACAGAGGGTGCAACATGGAAGCTCCCCATCTTTTTTTAGACATCAGGAGAAACTTAAAGAGGTGAGTTCCAGCTGCTGAAACTTCTGTCTTCCTCTCCTGCTTTTAATAGGCCCTTGATTTAAACCCTCACCCCAGCATGTTCACAGAGGAGAGGTGGTGATAATTCAGTTTGCTTTTGTCAAACTGGTACCCAGAAGTACAACTCCTCTGTCCTCCCTTTAGACATTACTTCCTAATTTGACTTCATAAAAACTCATAGGGCCATTTATGAGCTGCTTAACTCAGCTACCGAAGAGCTAAAAGCAACTAGTGTGTGAAAGAAGATATTAATTGTATGTCTCTTTCCCAGCTTTAACCTTTGTCATCTCACTCATTTTAGCCCTGTTATAGATGCCCACACATAAGGGTAGCAAAAGGAAGGTGTGAGAAGGTTTGAAAAGCTCTGTGTGAAAGTGGACAAATTGCTTTTCCCTGTGTACACTCAGGTGGCCTTGGTTGTCAGCTGAAATCCTCCCAAGAGTGTGAATATTGCCTCAACTCAGGTTTTGCTTTGTTGGCTCAAGGAAACTTCCACTGTTACGTCCAGCATGCCAAGGCCTTGTTCTCAGCTCTGTTATATTGCGCAGTATTTGGCACATGATTGAACTTTGCCTCAGTTCTACAGTGAAAATGGGAGTAACAAATCCAAAATCAGAGTAAGGTTGTGAATTCAGTGAGTATCAATTGCTTTGAGATCGTCATATAAGTGCTGAACAGCCGTGCCGTTCTTTGTATACTGACCTGATTTAAAAAAAACCTGAAAGGCAAAGAAAATACCAGTACCTCTCTGAGATAAATTTTCTGGCCCTTCACAAGGCAGCTTTGAAAAGCCTGGATTAACCACACTGGTGTTGAAAATGCATGAATGATTATTTCCTAGTTCCTCAGTTTTTACAGTGTCCTTGCTGTTAGAAGTCCACTGGTGTTGGGAGAAGGGGAAGGAGGAGAAACAAACCCACAGGTACCCAGGTTTGGGGTTTTGAGTGCAGGGCAGCTCTGTGACAGCTACCTCAGGTGGCACAATGGCTGTTGGAAGCTGCCCTCACCAGCTCCTGGGCTCCATGGCCTGTGTGCTACGTCTTCCCATGAAAGGGTAGCACCATATATGACCTAACCCCAGCTACAACACCGAAACCCTGTGGTCATGAACAGCTCGTAAATCAGAAAATTTCACGTTTGTAGGCCTAAATTAACACAAATTAAGCTGAGGGAGATGTGCATTTGCAGTGTTTGTTGTAATCACCAGGAGTTTCTGGCACACACGGAAAGTGGCTCTGCTCTTCCAAAGCAGTGTAAGTTTCCATGTAGTATTGTGCCTTCTGCAGAACAAGCTATCTGAAATATGAATCCATCAAGAACTACTTCTGTAAATTAAAGAAGACTTTTTGGATCCACTGTAACAGCACAAAACCTGTCAATGTCAAGCTGTAAGAATGATGGATTAACTTTGCAAACAGGAAACATTGCAAATATTTTTGCTTGAGATTTTGTTTTCAAAAAATCATCAAATGCCTCATGTGGGCAGCCTGGCTGTCAAAAGTGATTAGTTTTCCATGTGTCCTTTATCCCAGTAAGCAGTACTGGAAGGGGCTAATGTCCCATGCTTGGGGAAACCTGACAGTGAAGCAAGCCTTAAAAATCCAAATCTCTCTTTCCTGGGTTTCTCTTCTCTCTTTTCAGCCATCTTTCTTCTCCCTGCTGCTAGTACCAGGACCAGCCTGTGGTGCAGCAGGAGGCACTCAGAGAAGCCCTGCCTGAGCATGGCTGCAGCCTGAATGTTTTTTCTGGTACTTGAAGACAATTATAGTGAATGTAGCTGGTAACTTCAGCTGAATGACTTCTGGGGGTCAATGCTAAGTGGGATAATGATGGAAACATTTTAAAGGGCTGTTTTGCAGTCTTAGGAATTCTGGACTCCAGAGAAATGAGCAGAACCAGCTCCATCTCCTCTCTGGGCTCTCACAACAGACCCGGACTGTGGCTTCCCCCTGCCGTCAGTAAAGCAGGAGCTTGGCATGCACAATGCCACCGTTTCTTGCTAGGCTTTTAACACGTGGCCTCTGAAAAGCCGCCCTTGGGCTGTTACAAACCGTCTTGCAGTAGAGGGCCTTGCACCCATAGAAATACAAGTGCAAAAGGAGGCAGTGCTGTTTGGCCAACAAATGCACGTTTAATGTTCTTTCTGTACCTCCACTCATTCATTATTTGAGAGGAGGTTAATGTGGCACAGTGTTTTGGGGAGATGGAACATCATGCTTAAATATGTATATTTATTTATTTTTATTTTTTTAATTCCTGCAACTCAGTGCAGCTTACATCATTTGAAAAGATGACATGTTTGTGTGGCCCTAGGGGTGAGTCTTTTCCAATGGGAACAAGGTAGCTTTATGCTTGAAGGCTTGGAGCTGATCACTTACAGAGTTCCTTGTACCTTGTAGGAGCCCCGTATTTGAACACATGCTGCAGTCACTCCCCACTTGTCTCTTTCAGGAATACCAACAGAGTTCCCTATTAGTTGCAAGTCTTTTCTGCTAAGCATTTTGCATTGCTCCCGTTTTCTCAGCTGCATGACCTGCATGACATCCCAGCTCTTCCTGCAGCTGTGGTACTTCTTTAGCTGTAGACCCTATCTCAGGGGTTTTTGGATTCATGCCTCTTGGGAAGCTCCTTTCCTTCCTCTTAATAGGACAGAAAGAAGAGGAAAGCAGTTTTCATTCTTCATCACAGGGTACATGAAAGTCCTCCTGGGTTCTTCATGATCAGTCCCTTTCTGTGTGAAAATGGCTGTGAGGGCTCACTTTTCCATCTCCAGCCCCAAGCCCCACCAAAAGCCCCCAGGGCAAATGCAGGAGAGGTGAGGCTCTGCCTCTGCTCAGCTGTGCTTCGCCAGGTTTGCCGGAGCATGGAAGGCAGCCAGCCGAAACTGTCACCCTGGGCTGGAAATAGCAAGGATGGGGAAAGTCGGCAGGAGATTTCACACCAAAATCTGAAGCAGAATATTTCACCAGAGGTGCCAGCAGCTGCAACAGAGATCAGGCCCCAATTGTCTGCAGCATTGTGTGAGCGTGGGTATTGTGTAAATAGCCACCCACGAAATGAGACTCTGCTTAAGAGTCTGGTGTGTACATGGACAAAGGCAGAAGAAAGGAAATACTATTTCCTATCTTCCTGATGGGGCATTGAATTTTGTGTTGTTATTGTGATTGTGTAAATGAGGTAACTGCACACACATGGTCTGCTATAGGGTTGGTGGGTGCACTTTTCATAGTCAGTATATTCAGGAACTTACAGTTGTGAGCATGAAAATACACATATAGCTGTTAAATAGCCTCTATTTGAAAAATGACATTAAGAAGATAAATAGTACACAGTTTACTGGAGAGGGGGGCGGGGAACATCACTGCTGGCTTCCTGGCAAAACATTTAAGATACTAGAATACAGGCACCAAGCTGCCACACAGATAAATGCTGCAAGGGCACTGGTGTAATGCAAAAAAAATTTGGGTGGAGCTGCCTGCTTCCAACTGCTTGAACAACGAAACAAGGGAGAAATTAACAATTTTAGTAGTAAGTTACATGGAAAGCTAACAAAACACAAGGCTTTGTGTCCTAAAATGAAACTAAGCATGATGTTACAAAGGCACTTGCCAACTAACTAGGGCTGGATGCTGAGGAGCAGTATTCTGTGCTAGAGATAATAGATGCCTGCATGTTTTGCTTCAGTCCTGTATAAGATCTGCAAGCTTAGAATGTGCACAAACTGGTACATTTTCATGGTAATTTTGAAAGCATTTTGAATAGTAAGTACATTTCAGTTAGGAAATGTGACAATTAGAGAAAATGATAACCTGAACTAGTAGGTTCAAGAGATCTTTTACTACTATGTATGTGTCCTAGGGCCATCCCTCTGAAGTCTGCACAGGAGCATCTCGGGCATTCTCACTGGTTCTTTCTCACTTGGGCGTGTTAGAAAGACTGGACCAATGACTAGTCACTTTCAGAGCTCCATTCCTGCTGGCAATATAACCCAGAAGTTCATAGCAAAAAAGTCCAAAACAGAGCCAGGCAATGAGTGGGTCACAGCGAGCATTCAAGGATTTTATAGTCAAAACTACCACACATGTAAGTACAACATGTGGTGTTGCAATACTATGAGTCTGTAATTCTAATGCACTTACTGGAATTAGCAAGGATCTCCACTGCATGGTTAACATCTATGCTTCAGAGGCTGACTATTTCAGTGTCATCAAGGTGTCAGCCAAAAATTCTGAAGCTGCACTAAGATTTGCTGTGGAAGAGAAGACTCCAAAATATGTACAGCTTTTGGCCCCCTTTCAGGAAGGGGCTGATTGTGGAATACAGTACATGTCAGGCTTTTTTATGTTTTAATGACTCATATTCTGGACCTTATTCCTGTTTGTCTTTCAACACCAAACACAAATTGCTGTTTAGCTCAAACTGCTGTTTTGGTAATAGAAGTAGACATCAGTTTTATCTATGGATTTTACAGCTATACATATTTCAGAGTGAAGTTCCCTGTTTAGGCTACTGCTGACATTTAGCTGTGGCAGTGTTATACCAGCTTTTAGTGCTACCTCTGCCACATTACTTGTGCATTCACAGTTGTGGGATATAGCTGGTGTCCTGTATCAGATATAGCTACTTTTTTTTGTTCATGCAGGCTGCAAATGCAGCACCTTCTCCTCCCTGAGAGGAAAAAGCTCCTGCTTTCAGACCACCTCCTCCTGCCACCACACTGTCCTGGTGCTTATCTTTTCAGCTTTTCCTTCCCTCTGGTGTGATCCTGCATCCTGGCCCATCCCTGGCTGCTACAAGCTCTGCTGTGTCCCACCTCTTTGCTGGGCTGTTCCCTGACCCCAGCTCCCCAGACTCTTGCTTACTGCTTCCTGGTGAGTGCCGGCTTTGAGGGGGAACCTCAGCTCATGCCTCACAGAGGGGTTTAGCCTGTATTCTGCTCTGTGCCTCATCTCGGATGCTGGTGTGTGTCTGTTGTGAAGTACACTGTGCTGCTGCCCTGGAACCAGTGCCTCAGAGGCACACATGGGAATGAGAGACCTGTTAGCTCAGGTGCCAGAAGTCTGGCACCACCAAATGAGGTTGCTACAGGCCATAATCCCTTTCCGTCAGGTAACTGAGTGAGCTGAAGCATTTCTGTACAGCACGAAGTCTGCATAATTTAAGCATCTTCCCTTAACAAGAGCCGTGGTGACCTATCAGATGGTGCTGAGAACAGAAATTGTTAAAGTAAAGGGGAGTGTTCTGGTTTGGGTGCCTGCTGGTTTAACTCCATGTGTGTAAGACTTCAGTGAATTTCCTTCAGTTCTTATCGGAGTATGTGGCTCTCCACCTTCAACTCGAAGCAGCAGGAGTTCAGAAGATGGATCTTTAAACTGATTTGTGCACAGACACTCAGATCCTGAGCTACAGCCAAAGGTGTGGGTTGAGGGAGAAAGTACAAAACCAGCTTTAGGCTACCTTTGAATTCTTCCACATCTGTATTATTTTGCTTTCTCTGATTAAATAAATAAGATTTTAACTTGCAGAATAGCCAAATGTGAGTTGGCTATCAGTTATCCCAGGGTCTCTACTACCAGCTAATGTCTAGAAGGCTGAAAGCACCTCTTAAGGCTACTGTTTTCTTCCTTCCCAACTTCATAAGGCTTTCCTGCAGGTAAGAGGAACCTTAAAATGGCTTGTTCTGTTATTTAGTTCTGAGGGGGCTTTGCTCACGAGAACAGGACAACTGAGCACAGGATGATTGATTTTACTTACATAGATAACAAGGTGGCTTCTGTGAAATTTTCCGGTCCCTTTCAAACTGATCCTGTTTTTGCAGTCAACATGGTTTAACCCCAACTGGCAACTAAGTACCATGCAGCCACTCTCTCACTTGTCCCCCTGTGGGATGGGGAGAACTGGGAAAAACTAAATCCCATTGGTTGAGATAAGAAAGTCTAATTGTCAAAAATAAAGCACAATATAATACTACTAGTAGTAATAATAATGAAAAGGGAAATGAGATAAAACTAAAAGGAGAAAAAACCCAACCAAACAACAAAAAAACCCCAACAACAAGCAGCAGTGATGCACAATACACTTGCTCACCACCAACCGATACCCAGTGCAACCCAAGCAGCAACTGGTCCCTCCCATCCAGCTCTCCCTAGTTAATATGCCGGGCATGACGTACTGTGGTATGGAATACTCCTTTAGCTAGTTTGGGTCAGGTGTCCTGTCTCTGCTTCCTCCTGGCTTCTTGTACCCCTCCACACTGGCAGAGCATGAGACTGAAAAGTCCTTGATCAGGGTAAATGCTGCTGAGCAACAGCTAAAACATTGATGTGTTGTCAGCATTGTTCTCAGATTGAAGCCAAAGCACAGCATTGCACCAGCTACTGGGGAGAAAATTAGCTCTGTCCCAGCTGAAACCGGGATGGCAGTACATACAATCCAACGTTCCTTTTCCTCTGAGCTGCTGTGGTCTGCCCTTCTTGGTTTTGCCTTTGGTTTTGTTTGGTGTTTTTTTCTGGTCAACTCTTTTGCCCAGACTTTCTATTCAGGACAGTTCATATCCACCTGAAAGATTCTGGTAACAGAAGGATGTTCTTACTACTCATTGGTTGGAGTTGATATTCATGCTCTAAATTAACAGAAGTTAGTGGCAGCGCCCACATTTCATTGTAACTGTACATACGGTTTAGCTCTTACAAATAACAAATTAGTTTTTATTTAGTAGCTAGAAAGCGGTTATTTTACTGAGACTTAGAAGCAGACCATTCAGCCCAGAGTTACTGGCCTTTCAGTATTGTGGATTTATGGTTTCTTTATTGTCTTGTAACTACAGTGTTACAGTATCCAGACTTGGGATTATTCCCTTGTCCTTCCTGCAAGTGGCTGCAGGGGCATGGAGGTAGTGGAGAAGACACACCCCTGGTCAGAAACAACTTCCCCTGGTCCTCATGCAGGCCTTAATGGTGGTGAAGGACCCTGGCAGAGAGGAGAGTGGACAAGCATCCTGTATGTGTAGGTAGGTGATGCCCATGCACACAGCCTAGATTAACTGGCAGAGCTATTTTAGCTTCCAAGCAAGTACTTCCAGCCCATGGAAATGGGCTCACCTCACTGTTGTGGTCACAGCACAAGAGAAACAGGACACAAACTTCTTAGCATCTCCAGAGCAGCCTGGTGGTCGTATGGTAGGGAAAATAGCAATATACTGTTCAGTGCCCCAGAGAGAGGAGGTAAAGCCTACAAACCCCAATGGTGACCTGAGCCTAGGGATGAGCCCTCATTAGCTCTGCAGCCTAGCTGAGCCCCTTCCATTGCTCACAGCCCTGAGGAGCCTAACCCTCTGCTGCTTCAGACATTGGGTTTGCTAAGTCGGAACAACTTCCCATAGCTTCCCACTTGCCTTCTCGTACGACCCAGCCAGTTTTCTCTCCCCTGCCTCGCAGAACTGTTCCACCTCTCCCAGTCATGTTCCCCCTTTTACTCTTCCTACAGTGTTTTCAGAAATGCACAAGGGCTGTCCCATTACCCTACCCCTCAGTAAGGGAAGATGGAGTACGGAGGTCAGCAGCCTTAGATCTGTTTCTGCCCAAACGGGTTCACCTGGATGCTGTTTCCCAGCCAGCATGCCTGTGAGGTGGGAGAAGGGAAAGGTGAGAAGGAAAAGCAGGAGAAATCAGGAGCAGCAAGGCTTGTTCTGAAAGAATTAGATAAAACTGCTCGAGGCAAGGAGGCTGGTGTGGGCTGTTGTTTTTGTGTCTGTCCCCAGGAGCTGGGTGATACACGGCTCGTGGGACAGCCTTCCCTTCCTCCTCTGGGTGTTTCCCGTTCCCAGGCCAGTTTTAAGGCACTAAACATCCAACACAGAAGTGGATTAGGGTGAAGAGGGGGTAAGGACCTGATTGGCAGGAGGAGGGCTCTGCCGTTGGAGGTCTGGCAGCACTGAATGTGGACACAACATAGGACAGCAGCCAGCACTCACCCTTTTGTGGGAAACAGCCTCTTTTCAAGTTCTGTTCTTTCACTGCTGTGTTCACTGGTCTTTACCTGTTACCTGTGTTTTCCATTAAACCTTGATCTTTCCAGGCTGGCTAACAAGAAGGCTCTTTCCCATCTCCCCTGTGCTCAGACCCTGGTACCTGAAGGAGCTCTCCCTGCAAAGCCTAGGCTCAGCCTAACACTTTTATCCAACCCTAAAGCCAGTATTTTTTCAGAAGCCATATTTATGACCGCAGATGAATTAGATACAGATTGCTTAATTTGCATAGGTGCCAGACACAGAGATGCACAAAACTTGGCAGGTATGCCTAGACACAAGGCGGGTGCATGTTGCAAGAAGGAAGAGGCAGGGCCCATGTTTGTGTTGCTGTGGGGACTGCTGCTGACAGGGCAAAAGGGGTTTACTGGAACCCGAAAGCTTCAGATCAAAGCTATGAAAGGGCGTTTAATTCCATTCTGCTCTCTGCCTGTGCTGCACTAGCACTCTGTTATGCTTTCCTTTAAGCAAAAACTTCCACTGTGGTCAAATCATTATGCATATGGAGGAGCTGCCAGCATAAGGCAGCTACAGGAGGTTTTGGCAAATCAGCTGAGTTTGAGACCCTGTGGTTGGACACTGTCAGGTTTAGCAGTGATGGCTACACATGGCTCGTGTCCCATCTCCACCTCCCTGCCGTAGCCTCTGCACCAGTGGTGGCCAAAGCAGGGCCTTGCTGCTTCAATCTGCACAGGCCCTGGGCTAGGCTCAGTGGCAAAACAACTCTCACCAGCATCTACTCTTGTTTCCAAGCTGCTGGGGCAGACAACACTGGGAGAGGGTTACAGCAGACACGGGGGAGGTAAAGCGTTAAAGACTGCTGCTGTTCAGTCCAACGGAGCCCATCTATCAGAGCCCTTAACACGGGTTCACACCCAAGATGCAAGTTTCTGTTACAAACTAAGTAGCTTTAGTTCTATGCTATTCAGTAGAGACTGCTTATAGGGAACCGAAAGCTTGGACAGGAACCCTCAGCCAAATAGCTATGCAGTTTAATGCATTAACACTACCAACTTGCTACTCTTCCCACCAGAGCAGAACAGGTTGGATACCACACCTCACCCCTTTCGCAGCCTTAATACAGTGATAAAGGTGGCCTGGTGCTAAGAGACCAAGCTGTAAGTGAGGATGTCCTTCAGAAATGCTTGAATCCTGCTCTACTAGCTGGCAAAGAGACAGTAACTTTTCATGCCTATGACTTTCTTAAACCTTTTTTGACAAAGGCGACATTCAGAGGGGGAGATCCATCAGAGCTCTGCAGCCCCTTTACTCCTGAGCAGGAGGATCTACTAGGGTTTAAAATGTCTTAAATCGTTTGCACTGTCTTTGTGTCTTTATCTTCCTCTTGAGTTTTCTAAGTGGAAGCATGGCAGAAATTCACTAAAAAGCCAATGGAAATTTTGCCTGTAGGCAAAAGGCCAACTACAAGTAATTACTGTGAAGTCACCTGCTAAAGAGTTACATCCCTTTTGTTTTCATCATTTCTCTTTGATAAACAGAAAGCACACTGGAAATTCTGCTGTCTGAGGAGGACAGCAGACTGGGGATGTGGTTATCGGCCTCCACTTACTACACTCTCAACACCCTCTCAGAGGCTGAGTGGGATGGCTAGAAAATAGGGAGGATGGGGTTTCCGAATTCTGAACCATGACAGTTTTCCCCCAATAGTCTTATCTGTGGTAATTAAAATATCCCAGCCTAGTAATTATACTGTAGCTGGTCTCAGGCTCTGTGGGCTTCTTAAATTTCAGGATTAACCAGAATAATCAAATTAATTTTTTTTTTTTATTTTAATTAACAGTTCTACTACACTGATACTCAATTGGAGGCCAAGCTGAGCAACAGCATTTTAGGAGTCATTCTGTTATTTCCACTCCTGTTTTCAGTCCTTCCCTGGGGAGCTATAATTCTCACACTTTTTGTAGAACCTTGTAACAGAGTCAGGCACAGGCTGCATACTAGACGCAGATAATGTGTGTGAAGATATTCCAGCAATTTGATCTCTGCTGTTTCAACCTGCCTTAGCATGGAAATAGATTCAGAGATCCCTCCCAGCCTTATTTCTTCCAGTCTTCATAATATCTATGGAACATGATCAAAAAGAGGTGGGTACCTCTTGTTTCCAAAGATTTTTTTCCAACTGGTAAAAATATTAACTACATATATAGTAAAACAAAAGCAAGAACAACCCAAAAACCAAAACAACAAAAGAAAACAGCAACAAAAAAAAACAATTGAAGCCAAACACCAAAACCAAACACCAAAACAACCCACAGGAAACCTTAGTAGGCTTCCAGAACCTCAAATATATAACTCATGAGCTCTGCTTTAGACAGTAGAGATGTGATTAGTATTTCTTCTCAGATCAGGCTAAAGCACCTGGAAGGGAACTTGTGGTGGTTTGTCAGTTTTTATCCTAATCCAGCCTGGCTGAGGGTTTCAGCTGGTACTTGGGTCCTTTCCCTCCTGTGCCTGGGTAACGGTGAGTGAATAAAGCAGCAAGTGATTAGTGCTGGTTCCTGCAGGACCCCTAGGAAGTGCCTTTCAGGATGTCTCGGCAGACTTCGGTTCTCTCTGGTGACAGGATTATTTTAGTCCCTGATCAAGACCAAACATGGAGGCACCACATCCCACAGATTTTGCCCATGAGATCTTGTTCTTACAGCCTGAAGTTCTGTTGTGCTAAGCACCAACTCCAGTAGTATGTACAGGATCAGATACTGGAGTAATACCTGATCCTTTATACAGTTTGACACAAAACTCAAATTCATTCATACATTCAAACTTCACTTTGTTTAATGATGACCTCATCCAGTGTTTTTTCAAGTTAAAGATTAACTGACACATATGAACTGGTAGTTACTGTAATATTAACCTTTTTCCTGACTACTTCTCAGCTTGTCCTGGAAATTAATCTTCAGGCTTTGGGCCACCCTTACCCTGAAAGCTGAGCAATACTAAGCCACAACAATCTCAAATACCATCACAGCACATCTTAAACTGCCTATACCTCATGGAAAAATCTGACAGATGCCTTACTTAGAAATGATTTGGTTTAGGTATGTCATTCTATTTTGTTTCCTCAATATCTTTCTATGAAAACAGGGTTATGGTTTAGGATTTAATCTTCTGTGTATTCCTGACTTCACTCATAACCTCTGTCCACATCAAAATCAGCTGGGATATCGTTTTCACAGCACATACCAGATTTAAAAATGATCTTTTCATCTTTTCTTCTTCTTCACTTTTTTTTCTTCTGTGAAGATCTAAAACCTAAGCAGAAAAATAATGAAAAGAGCCTACCTTCATTTCACTGATGTATTACGCTCAAAGTTTTCTCATCCTTTTTAAATTATTCTTAGTGTGAATTGATTTTGCGGTATTGATTCTAGGAATACTGTCTGTAAGCAGTTATGTTTTGTGCAATATATTAAACAGTAAAAAGGATTTGGGTGCATGTGTTTATAAAGAATAGAATTTTTTTTTTTTATACATACAACACATATACACACACATAACCACGGAAAATCAATCAAACAAGATGCAGTACTGGTTACAATAACACACTTTTTTTCAATTCTGTGTTCTTACTAGAAAAGATTAAAACGACCCTGCAGTTGTCTTCTCCAGTGCAGAACAGCATATACATTGAAAACTTACCAGGAAAAAACACCACGTGAATTTCCATAAGTAGCTGAAAACCTGAATAACAAGACTGGTGAAAGATGCATTGTAACAACATACAGAATAATAAAACTAGTGGTTTATACTAAAGTTACATATTCAGCACAGGAAAGTGGATTTCAATTCAATGTCATACTGCTGTCACCTGCCCTCAGTGCCTTATGTTGGTTTTACAGAGGTTGTATTTGAACTAGTGAAAAAAGAATCTCAAAATAAGCAAATCCACTCCTTCCTTGGAAAATTTCTCATTGTTTCTTGCCTCAAAAGGAAGCAGTGAACATATCTATACTGCAAATCAAAGACAAGAGTGTGATTAATTGTCTATCTGACCTTTCCCAGGGAAAAACAGCTAGGAGGGCTGGAGAGGGCTGGTGCAGGGAAGGAGGGCTGTGCAGCTTCATGGGGCTCTCCTTAGTCAAGGCAAGAACTGCATTTATGTATCTTTCCAGAATAAGTTCTGAACCATGTATTCGCCAGTCTTCTATGAGTTGTCTGCTAATGCTGAAAGTTCACCTACATGCCAGTTTTGGGATTAGTTTAACTGTAGATCATCAGTTCAGAAAGATGTGGCTGTATGGGTACAAGCTACAGTGGTAGAAGCACCGTTAGTCTAGAATAACTACATCCACTCTAACAGAATGTGAAGTAATTGTAATGATATTTGTAAGTTAAAAACATTGCAAAAATATGTTTAAATCATCTCTGAGAGCAAAGATAACAGTGAGCTATATTGCAAGACTTCGTTTGAATACTTCAGTGTCTTTAGGTACTTGAGAATAATCTGCATTGTAACTTAAAAATAATTTGATGTATCAATTTCTTTTAGTTGTGACCAGTCAGTCTTTGATTCCCTTGTCAATGTCTGTCAGTTAAAGCTGAACCTAATGAAATACATTTATTCAAAATGATTTCTTAGAAATCTTATCTTCCCATCAGTTGCTTTAGCCCGCTTAGTAGCGCAGGTCAGGACTCATCCGCCTCAGCAGGGTAAAGAGAACAATTTAGATCATTTTACTTGAGGACTCAGTTAGCACTTTTTACCACTACGAAATGCTCTAAGAATTAAAGGATGACAGAAAACTTCTTCAAATCACATTTCAAAAAGCATTTTCCAAAAAAGACTATGTTAGTAGACTTTATTGTCACCAGAAAGCCTCTGTTAATCTTACAAAGCATCTGCAATGAATAATCTTCCCCTCCTCCATCCGTATTTGCTGCCAGAAACAGCTTATAAATGCTTAGTTCAAAATGCTGCCAAATTTTGCTTTTAGGCACACTGTTGTAAACAGAGAATATTTCTACTGATTTTGGTAGAATTTCTCCAGATTTATGTGGATGCAAGCAAAAGCCAAATTTTGCCTGGGTCTTTCCCCATCACCTGCCACTTTGTGCCCTGGTCAGCACCAGAACTGCCACCTCTGGTGTCAGGGGAAGGCAAGTGCTTGAGCTGAGTCTGCCCATCATTTGACAAATTATTCTAAACAGATTTGAACAAATGTTTCTTTACAAAACAAACTGGTCAGCAGGCTCCAGGCTCTATTTTGATGCATTTTACAGGAAATAATATCAAGTTAGCTATTATGAAACTACCCCCTCCTCACACACACATAATTGCTTCCAGCTTACTGATTATTACCCTTTCCTTAACTGATAGAGTGAGAAGAGAAATAAAAATATCTCCATACAGTGGGCCAAATCCTCATCTGGTATAAATCAACATAGCTCCATCAAAGTCAATAAAACTATGCTGATTTACACCAGTCGAGGAGCTGATGCACTGTAATTTTTTTACTTGCTTTTAAAAATAAAACCTTATGTGATTGTGTAACCAACATTGCAACAGAAACCAGCATTTTTTTTGTGAAGTCAAACATGTGCCCTCCCTTTGACATTTTCACTTAAATAGCCCTTCTATAGCTTTTTTTCCCTCACCTTTCTGGCAGAGTGCTCCTACAACCCTTTTTGCTAGGCTGGCGTCACGATAGAGGTACAGACTGGGCTGAATGATGATCAGCCACAAAATGACAATTCCATAGGGTAATGAGGCTACAGAACAAAGTGCTACCACCACTCTTTCACACAAGAGAGGAAAAAGGGCTAAGCAAAGCACAAGACAAGAAAATTGCTTCTCTACTGACATTCTCTCTGATCTCCACCACACTTTGCAGTTAGCTAACACATATTAACAATACTAAGCAAGTAGTAATTCCTACCGAGGAATGACAGTACTGTAAACTGCTATTATAGATTAAGATTCTTAAATAATATTTAAAATAATATGATGAGAGTTATTACAAGGTTTCCTAAAAACAATAGAAACTATGTGCTCTGCGTAGAAAACTCAGATTTCTAAGGTCTTTCTTCAGTCTTCACTAAGGGCTGCCAAACAGATGGTAAATTTTTTGGGAATATTCTTTGTCTCTTGTTCTGATCAACAGCACAGACAGATCTCAGGAAATCTTTTACATCCATTGTGGGGGTTCTAGGCATTTCAGTATGATATTTCATCAAATAATGGTCTGGTCTTTCCCCAAACCCTCAAATTGTTGACTGTTTGGTTTTTTTTTTTGATTGTATATTCAGAAATCTGTGATAATTTCAATAGCATCCTGAAAAATCTGAACAATTTTACTTTAAATGTTGACAAAGTTTTGTACTTGTTCAGCAAAGACTTAAGAAAACTTTGGTTTATTAATTCTTGGTATTTAATAGCCCCTAAGAACATGCTGGTAATTTTATGGAAGTTAATGGTGATCTTTGCAGAGTCACAGACTTTAATTTCCAATAGCTTTTTGAATACTGTAACAGATTAAGGTGCAATAAAAAGCTGCAATAGCATGCATTTCCAAACGATTTTGTGCAAAATCTGGGCAAGATTAAGCTTACTTTAAAATACATTTACCATTGCTTTGAATAACATCTTGAAAATCATTCTATGCTGTCTGGAATTCAGTTGCAAAGACTGAATCGGAATTCAGTCACACATTCTGGTCTCTGGTTTAATATACATATTTTAATTCAAAGGCCAGTCTGAAATGCATTCAGAATTGACTGGAAAACTTTCTATAGTCAGACCTGAAAATTTCCTTGTCATATTTGGTAGGTACCATTGCACTACTTATTTTGATTTGGAAAAGATTGCTTATCTACCTCTATTAAGCTGTGAACCCTTTGGTTTTGGAACCCTGCTTTTACTGTAACCATCATTTTGCAGCGCAGCCTTTATTTTGTAATGGGTTTTTGTCACCTGGTTGAATGAATGACTGAGATGTTGGTGCAGAGAAATTCAGTTCAGATTCTTCCTTACCTGTCTGTTTCCATGGCAAAATATGACTAGAAAACACAATCTAATCTCTGGAGAAAACAGCATTTCCCCAAGCACCCTTTAAATAAGTACTTACAGGCAGACACTCTCTAGATCTGTGCAGAGGAAATTAAAATAAAACACAAATTGGCAAACACATTCCATTCAATCAGGATTGAAAAAGCAGCCCTGTCCGTAAAGAAACTGGTGGTAGATCTTGCCAAAGA